TCTGTGTTGGATTTCTAAAATGAGCAAAGAAGTTACATGTGCATTTTTCAAGTATAATTCTTTTGGAAAACTTGAGACTAGTTTTTGCTTTATTTTCTAAATCATCAGCAGAGTTCCATCTGTCAAATATTACTAAGTCTGGGACATCATCCAGGAGTGGATTTCCCCTAGTTCCTATACTCTGAAATACATTTTGGGCTTGGCTTTAGTAGTTTGTTTGGTTTAAATGTTCTTCAAATGTGATGTGTGAACTAGGGAGGAGGTCTAGGACATCATCAGGAAAATACAGTTTTTAACAGTTCAGTAGCTGTGGGTCAGAGAATATCTAGTATCAGAAAGCAGTGGAATTTTAACTTCCCAACTCCATTCCCAAATTTCTTGCTAATCTTGTTTTCTAATCTTGGGTTTGATCAAAGAATGCAGAGCATTTCTTTCTTGTCTTACTAAGGAGCCAATGATGCTGATCCTTAATAGTTCAGTAATTGTTTTAAGTAATTATGTCATCTTTCTGATATGTATTTGTCATCCATTTTGCACATGGTACAAACCTCAAGATTTCATTTTATAGCAGGATTCTGTGTGCTCCAATGAAAAGCAGGATGCAAGTTTCATACTATTGAACAAGATCCCAGGTCCCAAATTAGGACTTCTCACTGAATGTTCTTTCTTTATAATTCCATCGAAAGTTGTAAATGACTAGAAGATTTAAGTTCTTGTGAAGTGAGTTGCTTTTAAGAGTGAGTTCACAGCTCAATAAGATACCCATGCAACTGCAAGGACTGTTGTACAGAAGGACTATTCTAAATTTTCATCTTTTATTTTCCATAAAGTCCTCTTCATATTCAAGTAAGCTAAGATGAGCACATGGGTAACAGAATAAATGTAGTACTGTTTCCATTAAACTTTACAAAAATAAATAGAGGTTGATTTTGAGTACCATGGCACTAAGCCATGGCTGTGTTTGTATTACATGCAGTAACGGGCTGTGAGTATAACGTTGAAGAACAGGAGGAAGAGCTGCAACCAAGACAATGGTCAGATAAAAGAAATGTAATTTGATAAAACATCTCAGACTTGACCTTCCCTAGTTCTCTTGTACATAAAGGCAGTTAGGGGGAAGGCACTTTCAGGCTTGCAAGATTCTGTTACTGTAACTGTATAATAAAAGTAGTTTTGATTTCCAAGTCTGGTTTACCTCAAACGGCTGACATCAATTTTGCAAATCTGAAAGCACCTTTATCTACAAGAGAACTAAAGAGGGTCAAATCTGAGACATTTTCTCAAATTACATTTCTGCTTTGGACTCACATTTCTTTTATCTGAACATTGTCTTGGTTGTGGCTCTTGCTCCTGTTCTTCAAGGTTTTTCTCAGAATCTATTACACATACTTACTAATAGTAACATAATTATGCTTGATTCAGTTAAACAAATTTTCTGGGATAGCATAACACACTGAATTAACTAATCATATAGGCTGGGTTAACACAAGACCCTAAGTTAAAATGTGCTTGCTAGTTTGTGATTTAATGCATTGTGCAACACAATCATAATAAGATTTGCTTAGTTTTCTTTGGTATTAATTATCAAATCATCCAGCCAATGTAATTTGTAAGCCATGGTTTATTATTTGATTCTATATGTAAGGCCAGCTATTGTAACTTCATCAACAAACCATGCTTCAAACAAACCTTGACTCAGGTAATGTGTGAACCTAGCTAGCTTATCTTGTATCCCCACTATACTTGCTTAATCATGGCTGAAATAAAGATTTCTCATCTGAAATATTAGACAGGAACAATTTGTTTTTTGAATGCAGGCACAATTTTTGTCTAAATATTCAAAAACCTTGATTGTATATTTTTTTCAAACAAGTTTTGCTATTCTACCCATTCTTTCATATTTATATAATTTATATCGTAGTCCCATCTTTTCTTCAAGTGTCTTCACAATGGTTTACATTAATAGTAATCTAATGTGATAAAATACATTCTCAAAACAGCAGTGAAACTACACACACACACACACACACACACACTGCTTTAGTGGCTTGTTGACCCCCGGGCCTGATACATTTATTCTTACCCTTCTCAGTTCTAGCAAAGGTGATGCACAAGGTGAAATGCTGGACACAGAAGTGATACTGATTGCCCTGTTTTGGTCCAGGTTCTGGACTTTGATCAGCTAGCATGTCCAAATCTTCTGAGCCAGGATCTCATCCTGCATGCAGACTTGGGGTGGCTTCACCTCCCTGAATGGTGCAGTGGCCTGCATTTATCTGCCTGTGGATGAAAACAGATTAAGATTCAATTATATTTACTCTTAAATATAAGCAACATTGTAGGCTGAAGTGAAGTAACAAAGAAAATAAAAAAAAGACAGGAATCATATATTTTTCTTTGGCTATCTTCTTGCAACATATGGAGGTGGGAAGGTTTTAGCATCACCCAGAAGAATTCCATTCCTCTTGCCAAGCTGTAAGTGCAAGAGACCAGCAAGGGATACAAATATGTGTTGAGCAGAGTATAGCAATGTTTTAGAAAAACTTTGTCTAGGGAAAAAATATATATTAACATCAGAGGTTTACAAACTGTAATGTCCATATCTTGTTTTTTAAAGAAACTCAGCCAGAAAATATATATTATCTGGTTGTTTATTGATAAAAATGCAAAACTTTATAAAATATGAGTTGTATATAAAATATAGGAAAAAACACGTCTTCTCATAAATTTAGCATCTAAGACTTATCTATAAACATAAAGTCTCTAGCCAAAAACTCTCAGAGAAGAGGTATATTATTCGGTTTTTAGTTATAACTATATAACCCATAAAACTATTTAACTATATGGTAGCTAACGCTAAAACAAACTCTGAGACTGGGCATACAGTGCTCCAGTTATATTGCCACTCCATATCCCCCCACTAAGTAACTAGCATATATACGCCAATAGGTGGCAGTAAATAGCAGTATATGTGCTAACACATAAGTCATATGATCTCTCTCTAGACACAACATTTTTGTGAAGATAATGAGCTGCATCTTTTTCCATGAGAAAATCCTAACAATATGTGCATCTGAAGTTAGATATGTGAAACAGGTTAGGAATTTTGTTGGTATACTGGGTGCTTTTCTACCCATCTTCCTGCTTGAGCAAACAGATCTAGTCTCAGATCTAGTGTTGGCATCTCTAGCTCACTGTTTCTCAACCTTGGGAACTTTAAGATGTGTGACCTTCAACTCCCAGAATTCCCCAGCCAGGTTGCTGGGGAATTCTGGGAGTTGACGTCCGCACATCTTAAAGTTCCCAAGGTTGAGAAACACTGCTCTAGGTTGTTGGTAGTTAGGTAGTTCAATATCCATGCTGGGCCCAATTTTTATAGCCTCCATGACTTCTATGGGACTCTTGTAATTGAAATCTCTGATTCAACAAGCAGAGCATATCTTATATTTGGTTGGTTCATGAGTGAGTCAGAATCCTCTACATGGATAGATCACTATATGGTTAGAATAACTAGTCCTGTTCTTCTCTTTTGGAGTGCAGCAGCTTATGGATCTGACAGAATTCCAAAATGTGCTTGTGGCTCAGTTTACTATAACACCTAACCTTTTGTTTGAGACTTGGGTGTAAGATTATCAGCTATCTCAGGCCATAGGCTGTTCAGCTGCTAAGCACCCTCTACCAAGCTTCTGGCTCTCCATGGTTTACCATGGACCTGAAGCAATGAGGTGCAGGTGGTGGAAATGTCAAAACAAATATGATTGAACTCATCTTGTATACTGAAATCGGTATAGCATTGCTTTAAGGACAAATAAAAACACTTTTTTTTTCTTTCCTCTGTTATTGTGTCTGCAAAAAAATCAGCCAAGTAAATTGTTCTGAGTGATGCTGGGGCTGATGCAGTCTGCTGGGATAGTGAAAGGCCTTCTGCCCTCAATGGCAAACACTGATGGCTTTGCAAAATTTTTCTCAGATAAAAAATTGGATTGCTGGGTGCCACAGGGTTCTATTTTATCCTCTCTGTTCTTCAATATTTGTATAGTATGAAACCTCTAAATGTGATTGTCAGGGACTGTGGAGCTGGGTGTTATAATATGGATGACATCCAGATCTACTTTTCCATCTTCATCTGGTGTATTGGCCTCTGGTCAGCTCCTGCTTAAACTTGATTGTAGGCTGAATAGCAAACTAAAACTGAATCCAGACAAGTCAGAGTGTTTATTATTGATGATAACTCTATACAATAGAAAGGCTGTTTTCTTGTCCTGGAGGGGGACATACAAGTTCACAGTTTGAGAGTGCTTCTTGGCTCTACACTGCCTCTTGAGTTCTCAGTGAAGAATGCTTTCATATAGTTGATCATAATTTATCAACTTTACCCTTTCCTGGATAAAGCTGACCTGGTTTCCCTGTCTGTATGGTGGTTATCTCATAAATACATTATTGTAATGTGTTTTATGTGGGGGATATCTTTGAAGGAAATCTGGACATGGTGGCTAGGCTGCCATTGGGAGCATGCACACTTGTCCTGGCTCAGTTGTACTGGCTTCCAGCACCTTCTGTGTCAATTCAAAGTGCTTATTTTAAAACATAAATCCCTTTATGACTTGGGTTCTGCCCACCGAAAGAAGAGACTTTCCTTTTATGTCATCAATCGGACACACCATTCATCCTCTATGGATATATTATGAGTGGTGTCTAGAAATGAGGCCTGGCTAAGAAGCAAATAGGGCCAGAACCTTCTCAGTGATTGCACCAACTCAGTGGAATTTCTTCCCTCCAGTTTTCCATCAGGAGTATGGACATTGCCCTTACTGGCTTTTTAAAAGAGAAATCTAATGATCTACTTGTATAAGCAAGCATTCCTTTCCTAATTTTGCATTTTTATGACTGTGTGACAGCTGGTCTGGACTATCTATGTTTTATTGGTATTATTTATTATTTTATTAAAGCTGTTTTATTAATACAACTTGTGGTTGCTTAATGTTATTTTTTGTTGTATTGTAAACTGTTGCAGGCTACCTTGCCAGGAGTGTGGGGCTGTACAGTTTTGACAATAAAAAAATAAATTAGCATCACGCTTAAGCCATACACTTTTGCTTACTTGGTATCTAGCTATTGTTGTCATTTAATCATTTATGGCTTAATATGACATGTAACATTAGCCAAATCATGTACCCATATTTAAGTTTGCTCTACATGTTTATTTAGTACATATTAGTAATGTTTTTCAGCATTAACGTTCTCAGAGCAGCTCATAAATCAAATACTATAACAATAGCAAATCATAAATTTGCTAAATAATTATACGCCAAAATTAGCAAGGGTCAAAGGGGATTTAGAACTGTTAATTAAAAGAATACCTAAAGGCATCCAAAAACAATGCAAATAAAAAGGTCTTCACTTATAACAGGGCCTATTCCTGGTTAATCTGTCTGATGAGCAGTCAAGAGGTAGAATGCTACCATTGTAACTGACCTATACATTCAGCAAAACAAAGTGATGGGATGAATTGTGCCACTTTAACATTTAAGATAGAAAATTATATTTTATATATATATTCACATTTTTAAAAAATGCCAGTAAATAGAAAACAATCTTAGTCACTTAGTTATGCTGGTTTTCAAACCTAAATAGAGGAGGCATAGATTAACTGTAGACAAACATTTTGCAATTAAGAAAGTTGCAGGTTCAGTCCCTGGGATCTTCTGTTAAATATAGTATTGTCCTGCCTGATACTGTAGTTACTGCTGACAGTCTGTAGCTGGATTCACACATCATGGATAAGCCATTATTAGTTTGCTGAATAAACTATATTTGGCTTAATTCACAAATAAAAAAAGGAAAGTTATAGTTTAGTGTTATGTGTAAATATGAACATTGTAAAACAGCTTCCAGTGTTCCTGACAGGTTCATTTATTTATTTAATTTATACTAATTAATTTTTTTTTTTTGGTCAACTCAAGGCAGTGTACATGTCTAATGCTCCCATCTCATATTTTCCCCACAACAACAACCCTGTGAAATGGGTTGGGCTGAGAGAGAGTGACTGGCCCAAAGTTACCCAGCCAACTTTCACATCTAACGGAAGATTAGAACTCACAGTCTCCTGGTTTCTAGCCCAGCACCTTAGCCACTACACCAAACTACTCTTCTTCATGCAGTCTAGCATTCTGTTTCCAATAGTGACAACTGCTTCCAGCTATCCCAGATTAAGAAATGAAGGTATCATCTTCTCTTATTTGCCCCTCCCCCCAAACAATGAATATTAAAAGGAATGCCATTTGTAAACCTGAAATTCAATTTACCTACCTTGATTAACTCTGTTCATACTCCTGTCCTAAATGAATATATCTACTGTGTAATACCATTATAAATTCTTTTGAGCCCTCATGATATAGCCTGCTTAAGAATTCTATCAATTTAATTACACATGCAGTGAACATCTGTTTGTTTTGGATCTATTACTAATTAATTGCATGGGATTGATCAAGAACTAAATACTAGTTTTAGGAAGAAGTTAGGAAAAAATTCTATTTCATATTTTTCTTTACAGCATTCATTGTTTATAAACATCTGTAATGACCCACCTTATATTTTATTCCCTTTATTTCCTTGATAATACCAAAGGTGAAATGATGATTTCCCAAGCCCTTCATCTCTTTAGTTGTCTATCTCTCCCTTCTCCTCCATAGCGTCCTTTAAATTATTGAAAAGTTGATAATACATTGTGGCTAAGATTGTGAACTACGTAAGGGGGAAGACCATATTTCAATCTTGCTTTAGCAGAAAACTTAGCAATCAAAGGTAAGTCAGCGATCTGATTCACATATTGCACTAATATTTAGCTTGCTTTAACCATAGTTGGTTAATCAATTGTATTTACAGAATGTATTAAGCAATAAACCTTAGTTGCAAATCATAGCTGCTGGATTCGTATAGCACGATAAAGTAAAACCAAGTAAATCACATTATGGCTTAGAATAATGTGTGTACTAAATCATTGTCTTAGCATTGGTTGCCCAATCTCCTCGTGTAAATGCTAATATTAATAATATTCCAGAGTTAAATACTGCAGTAATACAGGGATATTTCACTTTCTAAAAAAAAAAAAATCTCCCATTTGTTACAATAGCCAGGCATTTTGAATCCTAACATACTAACAGCACAATCTTAAAGCGTTTCCTCAAAGTATATTCCTGTGAGGCTTGTTCACTGAACACATCAACAAACCTCGTATTTATGTTTAAAAGGAGTGTAGCTTAAACATCAGTGTTGCTGTGAAGATAACAGGCTTTAGTTTTTGTGGCACTTCGTATTCAGTCTTGATGCTTAGCACTTCATACTCCTAACCCATTTATGACAGGATAAATTTGCTTAGCCTTTTGATTAGATTACCTCACTCTCCACCCATAGGTTAGATTCTTCAATGGAGGTGAATAGGTTCTGCTCCTTCTTGTTGGTGTGTAATATGTTTTAATATATAATGAAATTTTGTGAAGTGAAACTTTGTATAGATAAAACTTTTCAGAGGAGTGGAAGAAGTACTATACAACTATCAATACTCATACTATTTCTGTGTCATACCTTGATCTCTGAGCAAACCAATGTCAAAGGTATTTCAAAGTGCTTAAAATTGTGGATCACCCCCAGTGAGACTGCTATATCAGATGTTTATTTGTTGTGGCTTTCATGGATATCAAATGAGGAGTGTTCACGATGAGAATAGAAATATGTTGCATTTTAGAACAGAAAAAATAAGTGCTTACCCTTATACCCACATTTGTAGAGGAGAGCAATGTAATTATCTCTGTCAGCAGTGTCCTGCATAGTTTAATTTCTGTTGGAACAAGGAAAAAACAGATCACTGGAAACATTCAGTACCTTCTCTGGTGTCTGAAATGTGAGCAGGATCCTATATATTTTCGGAAGTTTGTTTTTTAACCTGAGGATTAGTAACCTGCTTCTAAAATCAGTCTTTTTCATTTAATTCCAAATAGCTGATCTGATCATTTATGGCATACATATAGAAATCATGGCATACAGTACATAAAGAAATATCAGAATGGGCCTATAGTGATGTATTAGGAGCTCAGTCTTGCCGCTCAGTTTTAAATATATTCCTACTACATTGGATTTTGCATTACCAATGTATTTGGAAACAGTATGCTAAAAGGGAATATACATATGATGAACAAAGACAGACATATTTTTTTCTGATAAACCTATAAACAGGCAAGTATGTAACAGGATAGAAACCTCTATCTTCTCTCTCTCTCTCTCTCTCTGTTAATTTTAATATCCCAGATTCTTCTTGCACATAGCTCCTGGAGAGGGGCAAGTCACATTCCAACAAACATTGTTCCATTAATATGTCAGCCAGTAATTATTAGCATGAGCAAAGGTATGGAACATTCATACAATGAGTGAAACATTGGGTGTACCCAAAAGAAAGAGTTAGTTCATTGACAATAGATTTCTGGTCCAGTTTTGTACAAGGACCCTATTGTAGGAGAACTGATGACCTTAGATCATCATTTCAATTTTGTACCTACTACTGATGATATGAAACACACGTTAGACTTCCTTTGATTCATAATTAAAAACAAACATCCCCTATCTTCCCATTCTTAAAAAGTATCTCAACAGTTCTCCTTGTACTTCTGCTCTGCCTCAGTTCCAGTGCAATGTGACTCTGCTGTCTCCACCTCTTCCCCAGTTTTTTTCCTGTTCTCTTAATTCTTATTTTGGGCTCTTCCAAACCTCTACAGGTAGCCCTTGCTTAATGACCGTTCATTTAATGATGGTTTGAAGTTACAATGGCCTTGGAAAAAGTGCCTTACAACCTGTATCCGTGCTTATGACCATTGCAATCACACCACCCCCTGCAGTCATGTGATCACAATTTGTGACCTTATTTACAGTGGTCATTAAGCGAATCACCGTGCTCATTAAGTGAATCATGTGGTTGTTAAGTGAATTCTGGCAAAAAATGTCCATTGGAGAAACTGGATTTGTTTAATGACCATGTGATTCGCTTAACGACTGCAGTGATTTGCTTAACATCTGTCGTAAAAATGTCATAAAATTGGGTCTGGTCACGTGGTGACTCGCTTAACGATTATCCTGCTTAATGACCAATTTTCTGTTCCCTATTGTAGTCATTAAGTGAGGACTACCTGTAACATGAAAGTTTTCAGAGACCCACCCACCTTCATATCCCAGAGCCTGGAATCAAAGAATCCTTCTAATCTGCAGGCATTTTCTAAAGAAATCATCTTCGTTTACCTCCTTTTATAGACAGGTAATGTCTGCATTTTTATTTCTTGTGTCACAGTTCTTGTTCTTTGCTTATTGCCTCTGCTTTACAGAGGCAATACATTTACAGCTACCAAGGCTAGCCTGAATTCTATGATTTTTGAATTGCTCTGTTATACTTAAGTCTTCTAAATATCACTTCACTTCCCTAGAACCAACTCTTGCCTGTTTGATGAAAAATTCCTCTTCTCTGTATCATCATGCAACACAATTGCATATTAACAAATCTTAACATCCAATAGCTAAATATATACTCTTTCCATCTAGGTTTGGTTTATGCTCTGTGGCAAATTTTTGTATATAATAAGTACAAAGGCTAACTTTCCCTTGATATGCCTTGACTTTGAACCAAGTGTTTGAAAATGTCATTTAGAGACTATGGATAGTAATGGTATAGAAATGTTGTAAAATAAGTAACTAAATGATATACAATAAAATGCATTTCAGCTTGAAATCATGAGCAGGATCATAGAGTTGGAAGGGACCACAGAAGTCATCTAGTCCAAATTCTATTTTATCATTTTATTAAGGAGGATATTATGGTTTTCTGTCAGAGGCTGAGGTCCAGGTAGATTTTATCTCCAGTATTCCCCTGATCTACTAAGCCCGTAAGTCTGTCAAAGAAAAAGTTAAGTTTAGTCTAGTACAATTTGCCACAAACTCATGCTGGCTCCTGTTAATTGGAGCATGCTTATCCAAGTGTTCATGCACATGTTGCTTGATAATCTGTACAAGGACCTTGCCTAGTATAGATGTCTGACAGGTCTATAATTTCCCAAGTCTTCCTTCCTCTCCTTTTTGAGGATATAGGTCAGTGTTTCTCAAAGTGTGGTCTGAGGATCCCAAGATCCTCTTAGGGGTCCACAAAATCAAAATTATTTGCCAGCCTATGTTGAAAAATCATACAATATTAAAATCCCATCAAACAACCGTGAGAAGTGGTAGTAGCAGTGAATGCATCAGTGTTAATTTTTAATATGATAAATATTGATAAATATAACCCAGACAAACAAAAGCTGATTTGGGATTCTCCATACTTTTTAAAAGTGGGAAGGGGTTCTGAGAGAAAAAAGTTTAAGAAACACTGATATAGGTGAAATTTTCTTTTCTCCAGTCTTCTATGACCTCCCAGTCCTTCAGGAGTTTTCAAAGTTTATGAGAATATCTCTGCAGTTACCTTTGTTAGTTCTTTCAGTACCCTGGAATGTTATCCATCTGCCCCTGGAAACTTGAATTTGTTACAACTAGCTAAGTTCTCTCTTACCCTTTCCTTGTCCAACCAAGTTGTAGTTCCTTCCTTCCCCTGGCATAACCATGTTCTTCTTTCTTCTAAGAAGCAACAGACTCAATTTTTTTCTGCTTCATCACATTTTCATAGCAATAGAACTACACTTCCTTTGGCTTTCCTTTTATTTCTAACATAACTTAATAACCCCTGTTGTTATTGCTGTTGTTATTTTTGGTATCTCTTGCAAGCCTCAGCTCATTCTGTGCTTTAGCTTTTCTGTCAGCGATCCTACAGAATATGTTTCTTCAGTTATATTCCCCTTCCTTTATTTCTTAGCTGTGTTCCTTTTTCCCTTCAAAGTTTAGAGAGCTCTTCATGTATTCATGCTAGCCTCTTTAGATTCCTCCCATTCTTCCATCTTGTGGGGATTATTTGCGACTCTGCCTTCAGAATCTCATTTAGTAGACTCTCCCATCCTTACATCACTTTTGTTTCTCTCTCCTCCTGTTCTTACTCAAATACTTTCAATAGGATTTCCATATCCTGATCCTTGAATATCTTTGCAAGTATATTTCTCTGCATCTAATGCAATATCCCCACATTTTTTCTTGGGTCTTTTCCTTGTGAATAAATTGTAGCCTTCTATTTTCCTTGTGAATAAATTGTAGCCTTCTAATGCTATGTGCCAATCATTAGTATCATTGCACCAAATTTTACTGATGCCTATCACATCATATTTGTCTTCCTGATTTAGGATCTCTAGTTCTTAGGGCATGTTAGAAATAAAATGAGAGGGAAGAGAATAAAGGGAGAGAAGAAACGTCTGAGATTTTGAATGCCATTGAGATCTCTTTTGTACTGTTCTACAAAACTTTGAGTCCCCATCCTGGCCTCCTGCTTCTCCTTTTGTGTTCTGCTTTTTTGGTCCCACTTTTGGCTCCATATTTGGTCCTGAGATTTTGTTCTCCTTCCCCCTTTTGTTCTAGTTTAACACTCTCCTGATGAGATTGGTGAGGTACTTGTCAAACACTTCCTTCCCAGTTTTTGTAATATACAGTGGTACCTCAGGATACGAACTTAATCCGTTCCGTGA